TTCCACCGGCAAGGTGGCTCAAAATGAGCAGCTGGCTGGACAGCTCCTTCCCAGAGCCGTCTGGTGCTCCGGTGGGGTCGCTGTGGGTGAAGGGCCCGGGGCAGGGTGGCCTCTCACCGCCTTAGGGGAAGGGCCACCAAGGAGCAACGTGACAGTGTCACTTGTTCAGTGCACAAAACCCAGAATAATCCCAGGTAACTGGGAGGCTTTTGCAGCCATGAGAAACCACGGGTCACATTTTCTTCCACGTGGCCGTTAAGGGATCCGGGTAAACAAGAAACTTAATGGAGAGTGACCCCTACCTGCCCGTGAACAATGCTCTGGGAACCATCTCCACGATTCTGTCTTTCATCTCAAGAACCAACACACTAGAAAACCTGTCCTTCTGGAGTCCCCAAATAAAGCCAATCTACCTAACACCACACCGGTGACTGAGGCAAATGACTAAGGCAGAGGAAGTAACTTAAAATTAGAAACAGGGGTGCCTGAGTGGCTCAGTCTGTTGAGTGTCAGACTTCAGCTCAGGTCAGTGATCTCACAGTTTGTGGGTTTGAGCCCCGCGTCGGGCTCTGTGCTGACAGCTCGGAGCCTGGAGCCTGCTACGGATTCTGTGTCTCCCTTTCTCTCTGTCCCTCCCCTGCTCACACTTTGTCTCTCTCTCTCTCTCTCCCTCTCTCTCTCAAAAATAAACATTTAAAAAATTAAAAAAAAAAAAGAAATTAAAAAACGAGCAAACTAGGCTATGAAGGAACTTCCTAAATCTGATAAAGGGCATGCCAAGAAACTAGAGAGATCATCATAATTACAAGTGGAATGTTAAAATCTAACATTGGACACTGGAAGCAGGACAACGATGGAGGCCCTCGTCACTTCCGTGCGGTCTCCTACTGGAGGACCTACCCAGTGCTGGCTCTTTCTGAGAAGTTGGGCGCCCTGCGTAATTCTCAGGAACCCCGCTGAGTGACTGACTGCGGAAGCTGGTCTTGCCCCTCGGACAGGTGCAGCTTGCGGGCCTTGTTGCTGTTGGTGGGGTCACGTGACTGGCCGTGCCCCACGAGTCACGGATGGAAAAGTGTCAGAGCCCTTATTCCCTCTGGTATGGTTCTCCCAACCTTTCAGGTGGTGGTGGCTATTCCGCCAGCTTGGATCCCGGAGTGGGGGGTTTGGAGAAAAGCCCCCAAACTACTGCAAAGGGCCCGCAGTAAGAACGAGAAAGAAATCTGTTACTATGAGTCAGAGACGATGGCACTGGGACAGAGGGCTGTGCAGCATCTTGCCCTCGCAATGAAATGCTCTAGCCAGATGATGCCCAGATGACCCACTCAAACACAAGGAGTTCTGGAAATGTTCTCTACAGAAATGAACACAGAGATGCACCCTGAGGTCCCATCTAACATGTTGGCTCCGATGGCAGCAGGTGGGCCGCTGCCTGCAACCCCTTCAGTGACCGTCTCGGCTGTGGGGAGACACCCGGCCCGAGGTCAAGCCTCCCAGGCAGCCCACGTTCCGGGGCCGATCGTGGCAGGGGCTGAAAGCCTTGGCCATTTTGGCCCCAGATGGGACATCGAGCTTCCCTGGGAGCTGACCGAGGCTGTCTTCAGGCTCACAGCTTCCCAGTAGGACAGAGAAAGCTGAGCCACACCCAGGACTCGATCATCACAACAGCCGAGCTCCAAAGAAGGTTAGATCCCCGACCCAACCAAGGCAGGTTGGCTATGCCAAGGCCAGGACTCTGGCTGGGAATAAGTGGGACCCTGGCACTTGGAAACAGGGACTTCCGGGTTGGAACGTCCAAAAATCCTAAATTCCCAATTTCCCCGGAATCCTGTGAGTCTGCGGAAGTGGGCCATCCCGTCCTGGTACAGATGCTAAGACCCCTGCTTGCTTGAAGACAACGTAAGATGTCTCCCCTGCGTTCTCTCAAGAGTCAGAACTTCATACCCTGGCAAGGACCCAGGAAAGAGATGTCACCCACTTTGGACTAGGACGGTCCCTAGAAGCATGGAAAAACACAGGCTCGCACTGAGCGTGACGGGACCCCACGGTTGCCACGGCAGATGGCGGACAAAGCAGTCCCTCCTCCGAGGCACGGGAGGTGTCCTAGGGACACCTGGAATGAGGATACCACCTAAGGCCAAATGCCTACCCGACGGTTCTACTCCACGGGAAGTCCTGGAGGTGACACCATTGACCGTGGCCGCATGAAATGCATTCCTGGGAAGAGTACCAGGCTCACTGAGAAGCCAGTGGTGGCCTCCTCTGTAGACCAGGCTCACTGTGGGACAGGCCATTGCAACCAGGCTCACTGAGAGCAAAGGGAACAAAGACATCAGACCCACAGGGACAGGTGTCGGTGCTGGACTGTCAGAAGACAGCCGGGTGCAAACACTGCAGCGAGCAGCAAGGTCACCGAGGCAGCCAAGGGGGGCGTGGCCTGCAGCGCGAGGGACACAGTTAATAGAACACAGCATCCTTAGGGGCAGAACATATGTGCAGCCAGCAAGGGTACCCCTCAGGCCAGACCAGAGAAGAAAGTACAGGTGGGTGACCGGAGCGGGGGACAGGTACCCCATTAAAGAGTCACGGTCCTTTGCCCTGTTTCCAGATCGGAGCCGTTTCAGACCCGGAACCTGTTGGCTGAAGAGCGGGTCGGATCCCCAGGGGAAAAGCACGTCGGCACAGCAGAGCCAGTGAGCTCGGTAACAACGGTCCTGTTCCTTCCCCGAGGAGACTGATGGTCATTTACTCGAGTAACTGTGCACTGCGGAGGGAGGGATATCCTAGCATCTGAAAGCCTGTTGGATAAAGGGCTAGAGTTTGCACGAAGGACCCAAAGCTTCATCCTGACTCCCCACCAAAGAGGGGGTACACGGAGGCCAGGTGACAGTTGTGGTCTTGACCAAGCACTGATTTACAATAGGTCCACTGGGTCCCTACCTCTGTCCCAGCTGCTAGGACTTCCACCCCCAAATCATAGTCAGGATGTTCAAACTTGGCAGTGGGTAAAACTCACTGTAGGTCCTTGGTCTGTGGGATAAAATCGGCTGTCACAGGACAACGGAGGCCTCTGCAAACACCCCTGACCTTGGTCAAGACAGTAAATGAAGGCCCGTACTGCGTACCCCCGGGTGAGAAGTGGCGTGGAAATCAGTGCCCAGCTTACGGACCTGGAGTTCGCACGGCTGGTGGGCGTGTCTTCTGGGCACAGTCTGTGCCCAGAGGCACCCACCCTGCAGCTGCCCTGACAGGTGTGGTTTCTTCTCCAGAGTAGGTTAACACGGCCTCGGGTACGTGGCTTGTCCCCAGCGGGTTGGCCAGTGCCCTCGGTCCCCACGAGGAAACCGTCTGTATTCACGTGGGCTGCGTAACGGGGTGCATCCCTGCTCTGCCACAGGGCTATGTCCACTCGCGTGCTCTATGCCCTCAAGCAGCCCGGAGGGATCTGGGGGACCCTGGCGTCTCAAAGAACACGACATCGCTCTAGTACATTGATGACACCATGCCGGTCGGTGATGGGGAAGAAGTGGCAAACACGTCGGAAGTCTTGGGAGGATGTGTGAGCTCAGCAGGTGGAAGTTAAATCCTAAGAAGGCTCAGAGAGGGAGGGGCCCCATCAATGACATCCATAGGGGGTCCACAACCAGGGGTGCGCTGGGACCACATCCAGAGGGAAGGACCGCCGATCACACTCTGCCTCTCCCGCCGTGAGGAGCCGCAGATGACGCCTGGCATTTCTCTAGGGCTCCTGGGGGCCGCGTGTTCCACACGTGGGCAGACCGCCCCAGCCCGAGGCTGACGGAGAGGCTACCAGCTTTGGAGGAGCCTAGAGCAGGAAGGGGCTCTGCGGTAGGTCCAGGCCGACCGCACGCAGCCCCGAGAGCCCGGCCGTGCGACCCGATAGACCCCGTGTTATCTCGGGCACACGCGGTGGCATCTACGGCAAGCCTGTGTCAGAGTCCCCATGCAGGCCCCTCCCGGGCTTTTGGAACAAAGCCACACCGTCTGCTGGAGAGAAGTCCGTGCCTTTTGAGAAAACAGCTGCTGATGGGCTGCTGGGCCCCGACAGAGACGGGCGTCCCATCATGCATCTGGGCCGGCTCGGGGGGAGCTGGGTTCCGTCACATCCTCAGGTTGGAAGGAGCCCGTCATCGGTGGGGATATGCGCCTGCAGCAGGCGCACGGGGCCAGCAGGCTGCGCGTCACCCGGTGACCCCCCCCCCAGCTCGCTCGGTGGCCCGATGGGGGAGCCCTCCGGTGAAGCAGAGGCGGAGGGGCCCCGCCTGGGTGGACGGTGGCCCATTCACCCCGCGGGGCCGGCCCAAACTGCATGGCTACTGTCCTACAGCCTCCCTCACGGGAGCCTCGCTCCGGGAACGTAGAGATGGTTCTGGGGCGTGAACGGGGCCGGCGAGAAACACGTGAGCGGCTGGACGCGCACGTTCCCAGCGGAGGTGGCACGAGGCGACGCCCTGCTTCGCTTTGTTTCTGCCGGTGATTCCGAGGTTTAAAATGGACCCTGCAGGGGCACCTGGGTGGCTCGGTCGGTTAAGCGTCCGACTTCAGCTCAGGTCACGATCTCGCGGTCCGTGGGTTCGAGCCCCGCGTCGGGCTCTGTGCTGACGGCTCGGAGCCTGGAGCCTGCTTCTGCTTCGGTGTCTCCCTCTCTGTCTGCCCCTCCCCCGCTCATGCTCTCTGTCTCAAAAATAAAAAAAACATTTAAAAAATAAAAATAAATAAAACGGACCCCGCAGAGCGGGAAGTGGTGTTTCAGTGCGTCACACGCGACGAGTGGATACGCTCCTTCCGGGGTGAGCGCCGATGCCGTTGGCCACGAGTCCCACGTGAACGCACCAACAATGTATGTGACGTGACATGGGTGTTTTTAAACAGAAGCACACCTCCAGCCAGGCTGTGTGTTGATGGATGACGATGCTGTGACCCGAGCCTTGAAGGGACAACCTTGCGTTTCCCTCCCCCACGCCCCCACCCCCGGGAGCGATGGCTCAATGTTTGCTAATTCAGTGTCCACGCAGACTTTCTAGAAGCCAGCTACTGCAGATAATGAGAATTGACTATGTTCTTCCAGGTTTGCGGTTTCTTTGGGGGCGCCTTCCTCTTAATAATGCAGTGGCTCCTCACTGCGACTATGGACAGAGATCCCTGCCCGTCTCTGGAGACTAAAAAGCTTGGGGGGGAGAGCCACAGCGTCGCTCTCTGTCCCTGGGTCCTCCTGCAATGGTGCCTGCGGTCCGGGCGGGGGTGGGGGGCTGGGCGTCACTCTCAGAGCCGCTGACCCGGGCTGGCAGCTGTCCCTGGTGCTTCTCAATGTTTTCTTGCTGTCGGTGCGTGGGGAAAAAGCTTCCTTCTCATCCTGCTTGTTTCTGGATTTGTTAATTCCCACTCCCTTTCGTCCCCGCTCACAAACCAGATCGTGTTCTGAGCCCCTCTTCTCCTTACGGTGTCTTTCCAACGGAATCCAACAGCAAGCAGCACAAAGTGCTAAAATCCGGTTTCCGGCACCTCCCTGGAGCGGCCCCCGCAGCGCCGCGTCCTGAGGCGCAAGACCCGCCCCCCTGGGACTCCCGGGCGCCGGCGGTTACCCAAAGAGCCACCGCTGCCCACCGAGGGGGACCGTCTTCCCGCCTCTGGTCGCAGTCTCCCCGCGGCCCTCCCGTGATGCAGGTTACACGCCACCGGGACCGTCGGGCTCTGCGTCACGTCCGGGCCGGACTCACGGAGCAGCCAGCCCCTCGGACGCCGCCAGCCGCCACGGCAGAAGGGAAAGAGCTGTGGAGGGCCGCCCTTGGGCGGTGAGATGCCCCAGCCCCAGAGGGACGCGTGTCCCCTCCGCCCACGGAGCGCTGTCGGAACAAGGGGGGGGCCGGCGACGCAGGGGGCACGGGTTGGAAACACTTGGCGGAAAGCACCGATGGCGGCTGTCGAGGACCAAAGAGACGAAGGGCTGTCCGGGAACCCAAGGAGCAGGTGCTTGATATGGTGCCCAGGGTGGGGTACGAGGCCACCGAGGGGCTACACGGCGGTCGGGGGAGGGAACCAGGCGTGTTGTGCGGTCTGTCCCCTGCGCTGGCTCGTGCCGGCTGCGCGCAGTGGGGTCTGCTTCGCCCCTTAGCTCTCCAGGCCTGCTTCACCCTGGGTCACCCTGGTCATGGCCTGAACGCCCCGAGGGGTCCCTCTGCCGCCTGTCCTCATTCCGGGAACAGGTCCTGGGCTTTTGTCCCAGCTGGATCTGGGAGCCCTAGAAGTGCCACATCTTCCCCGCGGCGGCATTTGCGAGTGACCTGTGGAGGAGACTGGGATCTGTCCTGGAGGGCGTCATTAACACCGTGGATTTGTCACCGAATTGAAAGCCCCTCCCGAAGTTCCTGGACCTGATCAAAGCGCACCCCCCGGGCTTCTCTGAGTCATTGGCGCTTGGATGCTTTTCTTGCATTTCATACAATTTGGAGGCATTGATTTATCATTTCCCCCTACTTGGTATTCCAGAGACTTTGTTTTTCATTTCATGCTGCCACTTCTAAAAATAAAGTTAGTGGTAATTTGAGCTTCTTACTCCTTTCTCTTCCCTTTCGACAGCAGGCGATTGGATTATAAAATCCTGCAGTTGAGGAGACGGGCGGGGGCCCAGGCACCCTGGGCTCGGTCTTCGTGCTCGTGCCCCTGCTCCCCCATTTGGGTGCCGCTGGCACGGGTGTGGTCACGGCCCCTTCCCCTTATGGGCTGGGTCACCCGGCGGGACTGGTGTCCCCAAGCGGTCCCCAGACCGGGTCCTGGGGGACCTGCCTCGTGAAGTCGCTCGCCCTCTGGGGCTCCGATACTCTGCACGCTGGGGAACAGTGTCTGATATTCGCTCCCACACAACAGAGGGCTGAGGAAACGGCTGGCTGAGGCAGGGAAGGGCACAGTGACATGAATTTAGAACGTGCTTAAAGACAGATCACATTATATATATATTGGTTTATCCTTTATTTATTTTTGAGACAGAGAGAGACAGAGCATGAACAGGGGAGGGTCAGAGAGAGGGAGACACAGAATCCGAAACAGGCTCCAGGCTCTGAGCGGTCAGCACAGAGCCCGACGCGGGGCTCGAACTCACGGACCGCGAGATTGTGACTTGAGCCGAAGTCGGACGCTCAACCGACTGACTCACCCAGGCGCTCCAGCAAGTTGACTATTTTAAACGGAAGTTAGTTAAGAGGCGGCCGGTGCGGGAAGGACACGCAGACCCTCCTCCGTCCCCTTAGAGCAGGAAATAAATCTCCCTTGTGGAAGGTGTCCTCCCTGTCCCAGGAGGAAGGGACGCATCCTTGTCACCGGAAGTGGGACATTTGGAGCCCGGAGGGCTGTGTAAACAACCCTGGTCACCACCCCAGCCCAAATTCTGTTAGACTGCCTTACTGCCTGAAGCCCCCAAAGTTAAGTTTTCTTTGTCCGCCAGTCCCTCCCATGCGGATTGTCTCTTGGTCTAAGAGGTGTGAAAACTGTCCCCCTGGCTCATTCCGCCTCGAGACTTGTTCTCCTCCTGTAATCTGTCTCACATCAGTTTCGCTCTGAGTGCCGCTGGAAGCCCTGAGACCGAGGGGTCCCCTGTCCTTCCCGGGAAGGGCGCCCCGTGCTCACCGTGGAGGCCAGGGGACAGGCAAGTGCAGCTTCTTATAAGCTGGTGTCTCACGCATTTCTGGGCCCCCCACGAGATGCCCCCTACTGAGAAGCGTAAACAAGAGAATCGCACGGAGGCTGGGGTCAGAGGCGGCTGGCTGGCTGCAGGCTGGGGCCCCCCCACCCCGGGACGCTGCCCGGCTTCTGCGGGGTAACCTCTCCGACCCAGTCCCCACCCCCAGTTTTTCAGCAGGAGGGTGACGAGGCCTCCCGAGTGCCTGGCTGAGCCTGGTCAGCTCCCGCCTGCCCATCTGCGCGCGGGCCTTCTCAGGATAGTGCACGCGCTGGAAGTGCGACAGGCGAGCAAGCAGCCCCGCCCCCCCCCCGGCCGCCCCCCCCCCCCCCCCCAGTCAGGGCTTCACCCACTGTCCGCTGCACCCTCTCTGAAGCCACTTGGCTGTCTCGGAGCTCAGGCCGCCCCCTCCTCGCCCCTCCCCATGCACCCCCTGCCCCTCCCCTGGCCCTGTTTGTCAAGAGAACCCCAATCCTGGGTACCTGCCGGCCGCCCTGTGTCTGTGAACCCTCTCCCGGGCGGTTTGCTCGTCACATCGCTGAGGTCTCTGCTCGGCTTTCCCTCCTCGAGGAAGGCCATCTGACAGCAGATAATGCTGCGCCCTGTGCCGTCCCCTCACCCCCGGCGACTTTCTGCCAGAGCCGGGCCTCCCTGAACTGTCACTGCCCACCCGTTTGCCCCTTGGGGTCTGTCGCCCCTGCCAGAGTGCGTCCTCGGGGGTGCGTGGCTTGGGCTCACCCCGGTTGTCACTGTCTGCGGGCTCACTCAGCGCTTGGCGACAAAGCGTTTTGAATGAATGAATGAATGAATGGCACTGGTCTACCAGTCAGGTTTACAATCTTCCTCCAGGCTCCTGGGAGGAGCTCCTAGGACAAGGGACCCTGAAAATGCAGCTCGTAGAGCTGGCGATGTCCCAGGTCACTGAGGGTGTGGCAGGTGCCAGGCTCAGCCGGCGTCGCCTCTCCAAACGCAGCCCTCCCGGGAAACAGTGGCCTGTGTAGCAGATTCCTTGACTTTCTAGTGTCGTCCCCTACTTTTAAAATTAGCTTTAGGGGCACCTGGTTGGCTCGGTCGCTTGGGCGTCCGACTTGGGCTCAGGTCACGATCTCACTGTTCGTGAGTTCGAGCCCCGCGTCGGGCTCTGGGCTGACGGCTCGGAGCCTGGAGCCTGCTGGGGACTCTGGGTCTCCCTCTCTCTCTGCCCCTCCCCCGCTCATGCTCTGTCTCTCTCCAGAGTAAATGAACATTAGAAAATTAAAAAACCATTAAAATTAGCTTTTCTACTTCTCCCGATTATAAGAATAAGACACGTCCACCGCAAGACATGTAGACAACACAGGAAGGCCCACCTCCGGACTTAGAGTCAGCTCCTTGGAGATGTTCACACGCCTGCCAGGTGCCTCCCAGCAACGCCTGGATTAGCGTCTGGCCAAGTGGGCGTCGCAGCCCAGCCTCGCTGATACCGAGAAGCAGCCGTCACGAGTCTAGAAGGCGGTCTGCACGTCAGAAGGCAGACAACAAGCTGTGGGACCGGAGCACGGGCCCAGCTGTAGAGGGGATGTTGGGCCACAGACACAGAAAGACACTCAACCCCACTCGCTGACTTAAATGGAAACCACGATGGTCAGGATAATGCGGACGTTTAAGGGCAGGGAGGGCTCCCGGCCTATCTCTGGCATGCTGGTGATCCTCTATTTCTTGCCCTGGATACTGGTTACGTGTATCCACGTAATTGATTATCAATTACCACGCAATTGATAATTTCTGACCTGTACGTAGAGGCTGCCGGGGCTCCCAGGGCCGGGCTCCGGTCCTCAGGGCGGAAAAGATGCACTTGTCTGTGGGGTCAGACAAGTCTGTGGAGTAAACACCGGCTCCCTGGCCCTTTAAACGGGCCGCCTGCCTCTCATCCGTCCACCGGAGCACAGGCTTGTCTGGTGCGGACGGCACGAACCGATGCGGAGGCCCAGTCACAACTGTTTCGAGGCCCAAAGAGAGCTTTGGGCCAGAGTCATCTATTCGTTTTAGGCCACTTGCTTTGACTCCCAGTAATAAGCCAACCTGTGGTTAATTCTGGTGGATGTGGCCATGGGGACAGACACGCATGGGGCGTCCCCAGCCCTGACGGTGAGCCCGCCGGGCGTTATCAGGACATCACCGGTGAATAAAATCCAGCGAGAAACGGGGGGAAAGGGCCGCTGTGTTGAGGCCTTGGCCTGGGAGGGGAAGGGAGCGTGGTATGTGTGTCCACACAGAGAGAGGCTGTGTGTGGGCGGTGTGGGTGCTTCGCAGCCTGGTTCCTGCACACGTCCCTGCAGTTCCCTGCAGTTCTAGCCCCCATCAGTGCGCCAAGCTCAGCACTGGCTCGCGTGTTTTCTCCTCCGCTGCCCTCTGCAAGGTGTGGGATCACTAAGAGCCTTCCCAGCCCCACGTCTCCTGGCCCGTCGACCCCCAGAGAGAAGGGAAGTTTGCGGGTGTTTGTATGGGTGCAGAGAGGCTCTAAGGAGCTCAGACTTTGCTTTTCTCTTCTAGACAGAGCAGCCTCCACCGGCGACATCCGGGGCTCCTACAGTGGCCCAGCAGCTCTCCCTGCAGGTAAGGCGTACACCGAGGGGACTGTGTGCCATGACTCAGACAGCGTCCCCCTCCCCGGCCTCTGCGCCCCTGTGGGAGGCACACCGTCCTTCCCACCTGTGTGCCCCGCAGCCCCGATGGCAGCTTTGCCACCGGGGACGTGGGGACGTGGGAGAACAAAGCCACAACGGAGGCCGGCGGGTGTGGGAAGGAGAAACCAAAGCTGACCCCACTCGTGGCCTACGCAGAACTCAGGTGTGGTTCCTGGGACAGTGACGGCTCGGGGAGGGCTTCGGGGTCAGCAGACCGGGGACCACTGTCCACGGGGAGGCCTCTCAGAGGAGGCCGGAGGTCATAGAAACGTAGCACTGTGCGTCCACTTAAGACATGATAAATAGAGGAAGTGCTGTTTTTGGCTCTAGAATTTTGGTGCTAAAAGGTGCCCTGGCTTAAATACAAAGGGCTTGGGGGCAGAGGGGATGGGGTGGGATTACTTGATGCGCACAGGGGTGATGAAAAACTTTGAAACTAGACTGGTGTGGCTGCACGGCATTGTGTGTGCACCAGATGGCACGGGTGTGCACGCTTGAAGATGCTTAAGTGCGTGTTGTGTGAATTTCACCTCAGTCTGAAACGTACAAATAGCGCGTGGGGCCGGAGCACACGCGCCCCTTCTGGTGGACTCCGAGACGTCCTGGGGTGGGGGCGCCACAGCCCAAGACCCCGAAACTCTCCAGGCCGTGGGCACGTTCAATGTCTCTGTGCCTCTACTCAATGCACATCTACCCACGGTGCCTTTAGAAGCGGATCGGGCACAAAATCCAACAGGTAACAGACTGTCGGACTCAGGCTTCAGGTTGGGACTTCACAAGGGGGCCAGGCCATCTGGGGCATCTTCAAGTCAAGGTGCTGCCCGGCCCCGCCCCACTGCCTGGGACTGTGCCCGCTGGCCCTCGCCCCTGCTCACCTGCTCAGCTTCTGGGTGAGACCCCCTCTGCCCCTGCTTGGGCTCCAAGGACAACTCATGCAGCTCCCAGCCGTGAGTTTTGCAGGTGACGCTGCTGTCATGGGATTGTGCCAGCTGGGACTGTGACTCACCAGTTTCATTCAGTCGGGCTTCACATCTGTCTCGTCTGCCAGCTCTGCTGTTTGGTTCGGGGCCCGATGGAGCCCGGCTCCCCCCTCTGGAGTGCGTCCATGGATGAAGGTTTCCGCTGCACTATGACCTCTGCCCTCTCAAGGACATGGTGGAGTGTGTCTGCGTTAGTGTCTCTCTGCAGTGGCTGGAAAGGCCGGGC